GTTAGGGCCAGAACGGGCAAAAGGGTGTGGGAAGAACCTTTCCTCAGGGCAATGTCTTTTCCTGTTATCTGGTGCTTTTAATCTTTCAAGGGTGGAATGGGGAGGTTGCATAGGGCAATTTTTATAGTTCACTTTACATCTTTATACTTAGTGGTTGAAAAAAACTGTAAGTACCTTCGTATTTATGAAACAAGTAAATGTTATTATACTGTTGAAAAATCAAGTTATGAAATAACAAATACAACAATTAATCACTCTATCACCCTCCAGCCAAAAAAGAACACTAAAGTGCTCTCACCATCTCTGTCATAATCAAGAAACATTCTGCCATAAATATGTCTCAAATTATTAATGGAGTTGATCGGAACCAAGAAAGAGGATTCTGTGGATATAAGAAAAAATGCCTGTTTTGGTTCCAGTGTTGAATCGACAGGAGATAAGTCTCACTATGCGTGAGAGCGGGAAGTGAAGATTAAATGCGGGAGGCTGGGTATTTCTGGTACAGTGTTTATACTAAAACCAGCTACCGTTAAGTGTTGACTTGTCGCATAAGCAAGTTTTGTAATAAAATAAACGCATCAAGGGTAATGTGATGGTGTACGTTAATAAAAATTGTCAAAATTAAAACAAGTTGTACAATCACCAAGGATGAAACACCATTAGTCCCACGTTTCCGTCCCGTGACGCAATACAGCAATCGACAAGTGTTTGTGGAGAAGACTAGCGAAGGTTGTTCTTTTATCATTATGATTAACACATATGTGTGATAAAATAAACTAAACTAAATCATATATGTTGCACGTTAGGAAAATAAATACCTACTAAACTTCTGACGTTAGCGATTTATTAATAACACTGATCACATGATTCCTAGGCCTTGTATAGCTGCTTTTGTTTTTCTTTTTTTTTTGCCTGGCATAAAATCGTATAGCAGTTAACTTCATAGGCACTCAGAGTTATCTAGCCTTAGAAGTGAGATGTTCGAGGGGAACGTGAATGTTAAATAGACTCTGTTTGCCGACGTTCGTAGTGAGGCGCGTGGAAATCCACGCAATCCCACGTGACTTCAATGGTTACATAAGTGTACGGGCGGTTACTGTGAAAATCAAAGTGCAATCGCTCTAAACTGATTTATTGCGCATGAATTACTGCAACTGAGGGTGCAAAAACCTGATGAAAACACATTGCTGGTAATGTCGACGAAAAAAAAAGTTGAATAAACGAATAGATTAGTTTTTATTAGGGATTTTCTTGGTAACAGCTGGGATCGGATTAACTTCGAGGATACCAAATTTTGTTGGACCCCTCTATGCATATTGAATTTCTTCCGTTACTGACCCATCATCTTTTCCCCAAATGTACTTTTGACGTGTACATGGCTATTAAATTATTATTTATTAATTTGGAATACGCCTTTATTTACAAGGCGATCTATAGTTTTGTTACGCCTCCAGTCGTTAGTTAATTTTTCCGTAAATTCTTTCCGACTAAACTTTAGCGACACAAGTCCTTTCTTAAATAAAACTAGTTTATTCTTTCCGAAAACAACTTTACGATACACTTAATTTCAACAGTCGCTCTATAACAACACTATAATTCACGTCTCACGTGGCCAACAATATTTTGTCCGCATACATTCAATTACTCATTACACTGTTTTCGTCACGTTGTCAACGTCTTATATATATACAAGACTAACACATATCTAGTAAATGCTAGGGCATTCTTGAAGGAACAGGATATTTATAGAAAACGGGTGGCGTGATACTAGTCACGTGACCTCACTGACGCAACAGTTTCCAAGATTCGAAATGTAATGCCCTACATATATAACAATACAGGAGTTGGTAATGGTTTTCAAACAAGACCGAAAACTCGAGAGCTTTCGAACAGTTCTGAAGAATTTCACATTTTTTGTTGCATAATTCCGTGCACTAAATTTTTCTGAAGAAGAATAGTGAACTATTCGAAAGCGTTCGAGTTTTGGATCTCGTTTGAAAACCATCACAACTTTTGTATGCGATCCTGTGTGCTAATTTCTTAAACAGAATATACAACATTACATACGGTGTAACATACCGTACAACTCCTAACACACTGGGAAAAACGTAATAAAACAATCAACGAAGTGCACATAGAAAGACAAGAATATCTCCAAAAGCTTCAACCAACTTAATAATAGTGGTTGTGGAAGCTGCATTGAAAACATGTACGTTTATATAGGACACTTAAAGTAAAAACACCAGCCAGAGAGAGGCGCTGCGAACGCCCTCTACATGGACAAACTAAAATAGAACTACGCTGATTGAAATACTGTCTACGCTCTTTCCCCACTTTTTTGTATCTGTTCTCTCGCTGCAATTTTGGCTTTGACGGGTCGTTTTTTTATAAGTTCGTCTTTTTTGTTGCATAATTCTTTGGACTAAATAGATTTGTGAGAAATATTTGTACTAAACAAAAACGAAATAGACGACATGATTTCTTATATGCAGACCTATACATTTTGAATATTATATTTATATTAAACAAAAAATACTAATAGTGTAGCGTTAATAAATAGGAAACAGTTCCTCAAATGCAGTTGTTATTAATATTTTAAATAGGGATTCCCCTTGACTGCAATGTTACGTTTTGTAAGGAAGTCGCTGCTTTTAATAAAAGAATCTGGTAAAACTACAATGTTCTATCCAGATTCTTAATGTTAAACGATATTTTGTTATATTAGATAATAAAACATAGCTCATATAGTTTTTGCGGGGACCTCCCTAAATCTGGGGCCTCAGGCTGAAGTCTCTAAAGCTACTGCCATGGTAACAGCAACCGAGAAGAGTCTCCTCGTTGAATAACTTCAATAATCTTGGATAAAATACACGTTTGTTTGTCTCTCCGTGTGCAAAAATGTGCTCTTTCTAAACAGCCCCCCAGTGGCACAGCGGTATGTCTGCGGACTTACAACGCTAGAATCCGGGTTTCGATACCCGTGATGGGCAGAGCACATATAGCCCATTGTGTAGCTTTGTGCTTAACTACAAAAAACAAACAAACGAACTTTCTTAATGTTAATGTCTAGAAAAATAACAGAAGATTCGGTATTTAAACGCATCACTCATATATATATAGTATTCAAGTTTTAATAATATAAAACCGCATGTATTCACTGGAGGATACCAGTCTTTACTACAAGTTATTCCTGAATTTGTTATAAAATACACGTATTATTTAGTCAAAACTCGGTACTTTTAAATCTAAAATAAAAACAGTTTCATGTTTACATTCTTCATATATTTACATATGTTCTCTACAAAACATCCACTCTTCGTATTTGCAATGAAAGTTCACAAAAAACTGTTACATAAACAACTTTAGACGTTTTTTTTTCTTCCATTTTCTACACTGCAATTCGAAATCAGATTTAAGGTAGTAATGAACAAATTAAGAGAAAAATATGAAAAAAAAATTACATCTGCAGTTAACTTGATTTTACGATAGGTTTTAGGCCTATTGATTTACCAGTTTGCGTGTACAAGTTATATATGTAAAAACGAAATGTGTGTTTGTTTTCACCCTAACTCTTTCGAGACTATTGGGCCAATCTCAACCAAAATTTGTACGTAAACACCATGAACTATGGGGAATGTCCTAAGGGAGTCAAAATTGAAATTAACGCTATTTCTGTTTTGTAAAGCCTGTTGGTTAATTACTCCCAGCCTATTAAGTCAACCTCAAAAAATATCGGCAGGTTCACTCTTTAGACAATGTTGAATGTTCTACAGGGATTCAAGGTCAAATTATGAAAGTTGCTGGATTGTTTCTCAAACAACCATGCTTTTCTCATGGTAAATAAGATGTAGGGTGTTCATGGGTGGGATCGACTCAAAATCTTTATTTGTTGGTAGATGGAAAGCAAATTGCAAGTGTTCTTTATGAAGAAGCTTTGTTATATTTTTAAAATTTTGATATAAAGTTTATGTTCAAATTATTACTTTGAAATATATGATTGGTGTTAACCTTACATTGTTATACTTAAGTTTAAACATTCCCAGTCAGTTGACGGGTATTTCAGCTTGTAACTTATAAAGTTCACAACAAAAACGAACTGACTGAAAGTTTAACACTGATTTTATGTGCATAATAATTAAATATTTTTGCAATGCAACAACTGGTGATGTGCTTCAAGAATGTTTCTGGTACAGGTATTTCTCTTTTAACCCTGCGTTAGTGTTCTGTAAAAAAATGTTCATATTCACTCTTCCGGGGTCTGAGCGGATCCCCATCATAAAAATATTAATTTAAAAATATTTAAATAAAAATAAACTATTATTTTGGAAACAAAAAACCGCTAACACGCTAAATCTTTTGCTTTATTAATCAAGAAACGAACATTTAATATTATAATTTGTTTCTTTTTTACCATCTAAAGTAAGTGTAACAATTTAAAACAAACTAGCCAAATTCTGAAGGTACTGAGAACAATAAACATATACGTGCTTCCATCTCTTGGCGCCGATGTTTACATAATACTTGGGGTCCGTGAAGACCCCGAAAGACTAACGCAGGGTTAATGTTCACAAAGTTTCGTACCAGAATGTCCTTCCTCTTGTGATTTTAAACTTTGATTAACATCTATTGATTATCTACCATTTTTTTGTGTTTAAGTCCCTCCTCATTTTTTGTTTTCGATTTAATCGTACCAAAGCAGTTTGTGTCCTGACCTTAAATACTTATTTCCCTAACAGTTTGATCATTTTTTTCTGGATTTCATCACATTTGCTTGATGATAAACGATTTTCTCACCAATTCATTGAACATAAATTGTAATAATATAGTATAGTTATTTATGTAAAGAAATGCTTGTTATGGACACCCCCCCCCAAAAAAAAAAAAACAAGATGTACCTTAGTTTTAGTAATGAGTTTCTGGTTACTATATACAGCTGGTTTATTTATATGAAATAATAGGTCGCTTGACATGACAGAAATATATCGATATAAATTTATTACCGTATGCAGTGAAGCAGAGGTCGCTCGTGGCTTGGATGATGCTACAGAAGCGAGATACTGTACAACTTTCTTAGTATTCTCTGTCTTTCCTGCGCCAGACTCGCCTCTGTTATCAATAAATAAAATTAAACAAATAATAATAACTCCATAGTACTCATATCACAGAATGTACAACGTAACAATTAATACTAATTAAGACACTTTAATGAGAAAGTAATTATTGGGTAAAAATAATGTTTAAATTTTTTCTAAATGTTAATAAGTAAAAACTAATATCAATAAAGGTTATAATTATAGTATTTTGGCAATTGTGTATAAAGTTAAAATCATAAATAATATTCAACGTTAAACTGGTACATACTGGCCATAGATAGGCCTAAATAAAATGTTTTTAATTATGTACCAGTTTAAAGTTGAATATTATTTATGATTTTATCAATAAAGGTGTTCCAGGGCGTTGAAGAAGAACCAACTTTCAATTAAGGAATCCTACCCTTAATTACGTAGTGCTTAACTAATAATAGTTATATAGTGAAAAACACAAAACAAAACAAAAAATGTGAGAAAAGGCCTCAAAGAAAAGAAAAAGTCTAATGTTGTGAGATGAATTTAACATAATTTCTTTTTGTGGCTTCTATGTGTAATCTTATCTCCTACAGACGACCATTTCTTCACTAGTTCCTTTCCCTATAAATACACATTACGAAAACATTTTATAAGTTCTAATGTATCTAACAAGATCACAGGAAGTGGAGAATCTTGATAAGAGTAACAAATGATAAAGAATCAACTCACGTGCATAGGATGGACTGATCTTCTCGATCTGAAAGGAAGTAAAAGTTATTTTCATTAAATGTAAGTGTAAAATATGTTGATCTTAGTGAACACGAGAAAAATGTTCACTATAAAAAAATCAAGATAAAGCATACAAAGCCATTCAAATTTATTAACGCACATAAAGTCTGAAAAATACTAAAATTGAATTCACAGTACCACAAACTCCATGTAGCACTTGCTACCCTGGTGTTTTCATTTTTAATCAAAGCATGTCCTATTTTGAATCAACCTTTTAGTCTTAATATCGTGTATTGATATAACTGTAGTTTTCAGTTCACCTATGAAATCCGTTCAAAATGCCCTAAAAGTGTTTTGGGGTAAGGACGTTCAATGATGCTATAACGTACATTTAATACAACTCCCATCCCAGTAGCGTAAAGAAAATATTTGTTTATTATTAACGCTAAGGTGCACAATGGACAGCTATGCTGTGGCTATTGCAAGGATCGAACATTATGTTATAAGCCCTCAAAGATTCCCACTGAGCCATGAGGGTCAGGGACGTAAAAAACTGGAGATAAAGCTTTCACTTTTTCGACACCTATGGAATTTGAGTGAAGGTAGTGTCCACCACTTTCTCTGAGCAATGATAAATACATCATGCCCATCCAAACGTGCCTTAGTTTGCGCCCTCCACTTACTCAGCGGTAAGCTTTAAGGCTAATAATGCTAAAATTCTGGGATCGTTACCGATGGTAGGCACAACGCAGGTTGCCCACTGTGTAGCTTAAAAACAATCAAACCTTTTCTCGCCTAAAAGTGACTCGAAAACATCGACAACATTTCCTCTAGTGCGTCGCATTCAGTATTCACCCGTCTGTTTACTTACCTGTTAAAGTTACTTGAGAACATCGACAACATTTCTTTATACGACAACATTTCCTCTAGTGCGTCGCATTCAGTATTCACCCGTCTGTTTACTTACCTGTTAAAGTTACTTGAGAACATCGACAACATTTCTTTATACGACAACATTTCCTCTAGTGCGTCGCATTCAGTATTCACCCGTCTGTTTACTTACCTGTTAAAGTTACTTGAGAACATCGACAACATTTCTTTATACGAGAACATTTCCTCTAGTGCGTCGCATTCAGTATTCACCCGTCTGTTTACTTACCTGTCAAAGTTACTTGAGAACATCGACAACATTTCTTTATACGAGAACATTTCCTCTAGTGCGTCGCATTCAGTATTCACCCGTCTGTTTACTTACCTGTTAAAGTTACTTGAGAACATTGTACGAAATCATGAACCACGATAGTGCTTCATAACAGGGATCGCAAGGAATTGCACAAAATCCTAACAGAAAGTGCGGGCAAAAAAGCACCTTAAACAGTAAAGATTCAGTTCGAACAACACTTTAAAATTTTTACTGTTGACTGCTAAGGCTGTACACATATAAAAATGCACAAAAAGCACGCATGTTAGGCTTATAAGGAAAATAAAATCCGCTCAAAACGGCCCGTTTGTAATTCTTGTTATTCTTATTCTCTTGTCAGCTTACAACAAAAACGGCTTGGTATATTGCACCCAAACCTTTTGTAGAATACTAAATAAGGTACTAAGAAGTTCATAGGGGTATTTAAAAGTCGATTTTTATTCTATATTTTACATAAGCTAAAAAAACATAATAATTTAGTGTAAACAATGTTATCATTACCCTTAGAAATGAGCTTTCGTACACATGTCTGGTGTTCCTTTACAAAGCTTAAGTACAGGGTGAAACAGGAATTACCAATCAATAATAAAAGAACATTAGATGACTGTAACATGTAGATAGTTATTGCTTTGTACACTATACAATCGGTGTCTTTAGGGAGCCAACCCCATATTATGTACGAAGTGAAAACCGTATCAGTTAGCTACTAACTATGCTTATTATCATTACAATGTATAAAGTTAGTTACCGTATCAAGTAATCCTTTGGTCATAGTTGAGCATAAAAAACGCCAGAAAACAAGATAAAGAAATAATTGGTTTCATGTTGTTACCTAGAATTACATTTGATTGCGTCAAAATAGGGATTTAGAGTTTGAGTAAGCAATGTCTACAGTATCTCCAGCCTTGTTTCCTTACTTTTTTTACGATCCGTATTTGCGAGTTTTTGAATTCATAATTTCTTATTTATGTTGTAATATCTAGACACTCACTGGAAATGTCATTTTTATTATCCAAAATAAAATGCACGAGCATATAGCTAGACAATTCAGAAATATAAAAATAATGGCATATCATTATTCGTAATTTCGTTTTCCAAGAAATATAATATGACAACGCATTATTGAATAAAATATAGCAGAAACTTTATATCATTAATGTTCCAAAATCAACGTTTATTTTATTCTTATTTATTAAGAAACTTGGTGTAACAAAACCACTTGAATTATTACATAATGCAGTTAGCCTGAAGCATTTCTTAATATTTACGTTATCATAAATATGTACAATAGGATTTTTACATCGATAGTGGAAAGTATAGGGCCAGCCCATAAGCGTTTTAATAAGTGGTCCAATTGTCCTGAAATCCTCTTTCTTTCACGAGTTAGTGTACTACTTGCAAATAGTTTCAGCCTTACATTTACAGCTGCAATTTGGTGGTTTTTATTCCTCCGTGGAAAATATCACAGCCAACCCCTCAACACAGTAATACAGCAATACCGTTAGTTGTGTTTAAATTACACTAATTTGTGCGCTATCTCAATATACAAGAAGTATGTGTTTTCTTATAGCAAAGCCACATCGGGCTATCTGCTGTGTCCACCGAGGGGAATCGAACCCCTGATTTTAGCCTTGTAAATCAGAATATTTACCGCTGTCCCACCTGGGGACCAGTATAGAGGAAACATGTGTTTTCTTATAGCAAAGCCACATCGGGCTGTCTGCTGTGTCCACCGAGGGGAATCGACCCCCTGATTTTAGCCTTGTAAATCCGAATATTTACCACTGTCCCACCGGGGGACCAATATAGAAGATGCCCAGCTGAGTAAGTATTGGAATCTCATTCTCTTTAGGCAGAAGCAAGTTTATCCTTGAACTTGGCAGTTTGAAGCCTTACTCAAAACATCATAAAGGAAGCATTGTAACGGAAATTGTGCATAAAAACATGAGGAATGAGAAATATAACATCACTTGTTTGTTGTATATATCAAGTTAAAATTTTTAAACTTGTACACTTCATGATGAACGTTTTTTTTTCTAATTAGCAGCCAACGCATTTGGTGATTTAGTAATTTTGTAACTGTTTCTATTGTTGGGCGGATTATTTTGGAATATTCTGTAAACAAAAGACTGCAAAGTCCAGTCCATTTAATCATAATGAAAGCGTTTTATTTCTTGAAATTCAGGTTCTACTAAGTTAGCTTTACTGATGTTCACTTATAAGCCTAAATTCACAGTAGACGCTAACACAACAATTTCTCTTACTAATTTTCTCGTACGTACGTACTTCTCGTATCTTTAGTACTTCGTTTAAACGCAAACTCAATATCCACAAAACTAAACTATGACACTCAATAACTAATCATCATATACGCGTCTCGCACATCTTAAATCGTTTCCTAAACTCTGAAGATGGATCTAATCATCATATCATGTCTATCACACTTCGTCAAAACTCCTGGCTAAATAGCATTAAAAATCTATTTTAAAAACGTATCTTTCAGCAGTACTCGAACTTTGATGTTTTTATTTTGGTCAGAATAATCTCAAAGATAACTTTAACACAGGGGTAAACGTTATGATCCACTACAAAACAAAATTTGAAAGACTGACTCATTGGCAGATTTTTAGCAGGAAATGTACGAAATTCTCTGGATTTCTACATCACTTATAACTTATAAATAGTAAAAGGAAAGTCCAGGAGTCATTAGTATCTTATGCCATGCTTCAGAAGACGATAAAAGGATACACTAGCTTAAGTGCAAAGATCTAAACTACAACATGTGTGATTTAAAGGAACTTGGTCATAAACTTACAATTTTCGCACAAACTAGATTTCTGCTTCTTCTAAGTTGAAAATTCACGTACAACCTTGCAATTCTGGCACCGCGTGCTTACCTTTTTCCAAAACAAAAGCACTCATAGGGCAAAATAAGATATTTAGGAGGAGGGCACTTTTGCCACTTGTGCAAAGCTTTAAAATGCCCGGATTTTGGCGTATGAATATAACAAAAAGTCTTTATTTGGTTATTCACTGTTCTGTATCATAGCACTATAAATTGTTAAATCAATGCTGTGTCGATTCGGTATCACGACATATTGAAACATATTAGTCCTAAGTTAAGGATCTTACATTGAGCTTAAGTAGACGAAATCCTAAGTTTGCCTATTTCACCGTTTTGATGTTTATATAAAGATATTCTTACATTACGTATTTCACATCTTTTCTTTTCTTTTTTTATGCATGTAATATAATCTTCCAAGCTCCTGAACATTTGTTTGTTTCAGAGAAATCCCACATTGGCTATCCGCTGTGTCCACCGCGGGAAATCAAACCCCGGATTATAGCGTGAACATACATATAAACTTACCAGGGGGACCTCAACATTTGAATTTTCGAGTTTTCTGATATGTTTAATTGGATTAAGTTAGTAATACAGATTTAAATAATCTCAATTTCTTGTTCAGTTTCTAATACGATTTTTTTATCATTATTCTTCAGCTTACTTTCAGCTTATATATTTCAACAGTACATCTGCACATAGTTACAACAGTTCTACATGAAAAACATTACTACGAATTTAATTAATGATAAACTTATATCAATATACGTTTTCACCCTCCGAGTTTATTTAGACATTCAAATACATTTTCGTTTCTTCAATGACTTAAAAAAGTTACCGCGTCCCATTGGCACAGCTGTATGTCTGCGGACTTACAACGCTAGAAACCGGGTTTCGATACCCGTGGTGGGCAAAGCACAGATAGCCCATTGTATAGCTTTACACTTAACTTTAAGCAACAACAACAACAGAAAGGTTACCCTGA